TCCACTTGTCGTCAAGTGTAGCTGATTGCAGATTTCTTTCAGAACTGCCAGTTTGAGTGAGTCAAGGTTCCTTGTTCTTTACAAGTTTGCAGATATTGCTAACACCCACGATGATTGGATGGCTTGGTTTACCCATATCATCCATCACCAAACTTCTAAGGGTGTCAAGGGCCATTTCGGACTCTGCGGCCTTGATGTCTTCCTCAGGGATTTCCTCCGCATCAATACCCCTATGACACAGCGCTGCTGTCTGATGTGAAAACAGGCTGCTGATTTGCTGCACAGTCCTCCACTCTTCTGGCTTAAACGTGAGCTCTCCATCTTCATTTCTGAGGGTCTTCATCTTCCTCGCTACCTGCACAGGATCGGTCTTGTTTCCAGTTCTTGCACCCTCTTCGAATTTCTTCATCAAGAAGGTCTTGACATTATCAGTCATTCTGGTGGGTCGTTTTGTTATCTTCAGAGCCCACCCCAATGGTCTAGGGTCATATCCTCTGACAGCGCTGCCACTATCCTCACCTTGCAATGAGGTTGATGGCACATCCGGAGCAAACATCACCCCTGTCGTAATTCCCACTCATTTCCTCCTAACGTGGTCATACATGGACTTGCAGTCCACCTCAAGACGATGCTTACCCGTGTCCATATGGTTGTCTGCCTCTGCTTGGGTCTTGAACGTGAGGACGCATCCAGTCTCTTGGCAAGAGTAGATCTCGGACTGGTGCCTGACGCTCTCACCCACACTTCCCCTGTGTGTAGCTTGACCAAATGGCTTTATCACCCTTAGCCCAGTATCTCCTTGTGGTGTAACTCCACGACCACTATAGTGGATGAGGTGCCCAGGGCCGATGTTGTATGCTTTCCACACACGGATGCCACACTCCTCATACTGGAAATTGTTCAACACACTATTACCTGGTATCTTGCTATCTTTGTTTCTCTCCCTGGTCGTGTCCACCTCGACGACCACTGCTCTGCACCCTTTGATACCACCATGGGATTCTAGTGCTGTTTTCATATTCTCAGCAGTGACGACGTCGTGCCTCTCATTAACCCAACGCTTTATGTGTGCCTTCATAGCAGTAGTCTTCCTATCGCAGATGTCCTTACCAGCCTGTGGCTCTGAGAAATCATATTGCACTGGCCTGACACCGGTTCTCACCCCTACTTCTCTAAGACTTAGCAACAGATGCCCATTGTGGTAACATCCAGCGTTATCTGATCGGAGGTAGGCTGTTGTCA